GAGATCAATGCAAATCCCCGTATTTTATCCAATCACACCCTGGGCTTCCATATCTATAATTCCTATTTCTCTCCAGGTTGGACTTTTCGTGCCTCATTGGAACTCTTCTCTACACAAGGCAGATTCATTCCCAACTACAACTCTGAAATGCAAAACAGACCAATAGCAGTCATTGGAGGCCCAACTTCAGAGGTCTGTCTGCACATGGTTAACATCCTGTCATTGTACAAGATGCCACAGGTATGATGCTCATGAAGTAGGTGGCATAGGAATGAAGAGCATTAGGATTGATGTAAAGACTTTTGGAAGCTGCAAAATATTTGTCCTGTGGCATGCTTATGAAACAGAGTAGAGGATCAATGCTTTGGCCTGACCTTTTTGGTTTTGGTTTAATCAATACCTCGATTAAAGGCAGAAGTGAAGAGTGAAGCCATCATGGTCTTATATAGTAAACAAACATAAAAAGGGTTGTCAGATAGATGGACAGAATCCTCCTCCCCCTCCTCCTCCTCCTCCTCCTCCTCCTCATTAATTATTATTATTCATACCACAGCATTTTCATCTGGCGAGGATACATTTGAATGATTAGCGTTGAATGCTGGGACTGCTCACAGACAGTTTCAGACACAGAAAGTGAGCTTGGTTGATTAGTGAATCTCAGTCTTTTTTTCTCTCTCTTTATGTATGATAGACATTGATATTCAATCAGTCTTTTTAATTAATATTTATTAAAGAAATCTTTTGCGAAGTAAAAATAATATAAATTTAAAGGAAAAAGTAAAGAAAGGTAAAAGAAAAGTGATAAGTAAATGGGAAAGAAATGAAAGAAAAGGGACAGAAAAGGGACAGAAAAGGGACAGAAAAGAAGAAAAAGAGAAAAAGAAAAAGAAAAAGAAAAAGAAAAAGAAAAAGAAAAAGAAAAAGAAAAAGATAAATGAGTGGCTTCCAAATTATTTTTTTTACAGCAGTTATAGAGGCATTTATATTTTGCCCTCTCTCTCTCTATAAGGTTACATCCATATTCAGTCATTGTCTATCAAAGTAACTAGAGCTGAAAATGATAATAAAGTAGAATCTGTCAAATACTTTATCTTGAGATATGGGACAGAAAACTCCAATGCTAGGAAATATGTTCCAAATTCTGCTTCACTAAAATCATTTGAGAAGTCTTAATTCCATGAGATATAAACTCATGCAACTGCTTGGAAAAACCGGTCAAACACTGTACAATGGATCAGTTTTGCTCAGGTAGCTTAGCTGTCTCGTTCTCTCCATGCAATAGAATTACAGATCTAGTCGCTTCATTTCTTCAAGTCCTGTTCATTCATAAGATCATGGGGAAACTCAAACTTTCTAGTTCATGAAGGCTCCGTATTTACAGTTATGAAATATAACAGGATTCCAAGTTGGAAATATGGATTGCAACTTCATTTCTAATCTAGAGCTACAGTACTGAAAGACTGTCACTACCAACAGTTTATCTGAAAATAAACTGTCTTTCTCATTCTTCATTATTTTTAGATCACGTATGGGTTTGTTCCAGAAACTGATGTCAAAAATCAGAATGCTTTCTACCAACAGATTTTCCCAAATGCCAAACATCAGTACAAGGGTATTGTCAAACTACTGCTTCATTTCAAATGGACATGGATTGGTGCATATACTGTAAATAATGAGAATGGTGAGAGGTTTGTGCAAAATGTGGTTCCCATGTTTGCCAAGAGAGGCATCTGCTTTGCCTTCATTGAAAAATTCCCCA